AGGCAGTTGTGAGTTCGATCCCCAGTACCGATAAAAAAAGAAAAAGACAAAAAAACAAACAAACAAAAAAAAACCAACTTGCTATGTAGCCCAGCTGGGTTTGAATTTGTGGTAGTCCTCCTGCCTCATCTTCCTGCATTTGGGGATTACAGGAATGTACCATGATACCCAGTTCTCTTTTTCTTTTTATCCTGAAATACAGAGAACTGAACCAGAGCCAGAGCATCATGCATGTTAGGCAGGTATTTTACTACTGAGCTACACCTCCAGCTCTTTGTTTTTTTATTTTGAGATAATCTCTAAATTGCCCAGGCTGACCTCTAATTTACAGCCTTCCTGCATCAGCTTCTGAGTAGTGAGGATTTCAGGAGCATACTCCACATCTTCTAACATTTTTTGTTTCTTTTAAAGAAACTAAGGGTAGCTCGGTGGTACAAAATTTACCTAGCATTGGCAAAGCCCTGTGGTTGATCCCCAGTACCCCAAAAAAGCTAACTATGAGGAGTAATAATGACCACAGAGGTAAATCAGGTGGGGGAGGAAGTATAGGCCACCCCAAGTCCCTACCTGTGGGTGGACCACTGAGCCATGGAGCAGGAACCCAGCTGCAAATTCCCTGCAGATTGAACCCTAGCGGGATAACTCAGAGCACCGTGGCTGCCTTCTCCCCACTTACAAATTAGCTTCTTATATCTGGGTCCTTGTCTTCAGGCCTCTGGGAGTAGCAAAACTTTGGAATTCATTACCATAGCCTAAGTAAGGGACTTCAGAAGAAATCTTTTCCTGTGATACTCTCGGCCAGGGCCACTGGTTCTGGAAGCCAGACTGAGAGGATGGGCATAGGGACACAGAAATTATCCTGCTCAGTCCTGTCAGCCTCTCCCCATGATAACATGGAGCTGGAGCTGGAGACCCTGCCAAAGTGTGTGGCCTGTCCTGCTACCTCCTTCTTTTCTGTCTCTGTCTTTGTCTCTGTGTTTGTTTTTCTGTCTCTCTGTCTCTGTCTCTGTCTTTCCCTCTCTGTTTTTTGAGACAAGGTCTGTCTCTGTAGCTCAGGCTAGCTTTGAAATCACTATGTATCTCAAATCCACAGCAATCTTCTTGCCTCAGCCTCCAAGTGCTGGGATTATAGATGTTCCACCTGGAACATAAGGAGGAGCCTGGTAAAGCTCCTTCTTAAAATGTTCTCCAGGTCATTTCACTTCCCAGGCAAAACTCTTCAGTGGCCTCTTACTCTGTAGTGGAAACCCCAAATTTGCACAAACCCCTCCCCATTCTGAGCCCACCCAGGGTTGCACCCCCGCCTGCTTCCTGACAGCTCCTTTAGGGCTCCCACTCCTGCTCATCAGTGCACACTCACTGCCCCGACACCAGCCCCAACCTCACATGCACTGTTGGCTCTGTCGCACCTCTGATCATGCTCTCATCTCCCACTCCTACCCTAACTGGCTCTTCCTCATTCTTTAGGCCACGGCTCTGTTGTCACACTCTCCAAGAGGACATCCCTAATGACCACGTCCACCATTCTCCATCTTGGCCCGTGTCTGTTTTCTATGACTGTATATTTACAATGGCAATTACTTTAGGTTCTAGGTATCAGTCAGGGGCCTCGAATCGCAGCCCCTGCAGGGAAGGACCATGTTCACTTTAACCACAATTCCATCTTCAGCCCACAGCACAGGCCTGGCATCCAGATGAATCTGGTAAATGACCCAGCTAAAAACACACCAAGGTGCAGCTACCACTGATACCCTCTCTCTGGACACCTAAGACAAAAACCATTTACCCCATGCTTTTGGTGATCAATCCTGTGTGTGATCACAATTTTTTTTTTTTTTTTTTTTGAGACAAGGTCTCGCTATGCAGTTCAGTCTGGCCTTGAACCCACTAAGAGAATCCAGGCTGGTGTCAAACTTGCAGCAGTGTGCCTGCCTCAGCCTCCCAAGTGCTGGGATTACAGGCATGGGTCACCATGCCCAGCTCCATCATAAATCCACTGTTGCCTTCCACTAGTATTTGAAATTGTATTTTGTTTCTTGATCATTTCTTGTACCTATCCTAGTTTGCAGACTGAATAACTATTCTTTCTTTCTTTCTTTCTTTCTTTCTTTCTTTCTTTCTTTCTTTCATCTTTCACACTGAGGATTGAACCCAGGGTTTTCTTACTGAGCTACATTCTCACTCTATTTTTTTTTTTTTTTTTTGGTACCAGGAATGGCACCTGCCAGGCAGGTACTTGTGCCACTGAACTATATCCCCGGCAGGCTCCCTACCCCAGTCTTTCTTTCTAAAAAGAAAGTTGTTTTTTGAGACCAGGGTTTCACTAAGTGCCCCAAGATGGCCTTGAATTTCCAATCCTCCTGCCTCAGCCTTACAAAAACCTCAGATTTCAGGTGTGTGTAAAGATTCTAGGTCTTCAATAGTTCTTTATTTTCTTTGATCTTGAGTTTTGTTTGTTTCTTGAGACAGGGTCTTGCCACATAGTTCAGGTTGTCCTCAAATTGAAATCGAGGATGCAGTTACAGGTGTCTGTCATTGTGCCTGGTCAGTCTTGACATTTTTAAAGAATAAAAGCTGTCTCTCTTTTAGAATGTACCTTGGCTTGTCTGATATCCCTTGTGAGTAAATTCAGATTGAACATTTCTGGTAGGAATATCACTGAAATATTATACCATAACTTGTTTAACCAATCTGTTACTGTTGGAAATTTATATTGTTATTTTATAACCAATAAATGTGATCTTTATATATCCTTATAGCGAAGTCTTTGCTTATATTCTTACCTATGTCTTTAGGATATATTTCTAAAAAGTGAACTTCTATAAGAACTGTAAGAGTTTTTATGATTTTTTTATGGCACTGGGAATTAAGTCCAGGGTCTTCACACTAAGCTACATTCTCAGCCTTTGAGACAAGATGTCAGCCTTTGAGACTTTGAGACAAGATGTCACCACATCGATGTTACCCAGGTTGGGCTTGTAACCTTCCTGCCCTCACCTCCTCCCAGAGTGCTCAGATCACAGGTATGCACACCGTGTCAAATTTCTTTTGAGTTTTGGCACATATTGCCATCCTGCTTTCCAGAAAGCCTATGGCAACTTATGCACCCTCCACAGTGAGTGAAAGTGCTAGTTTCTAGGAGATTTTACCAACACTGGATCCAACCAGTGGGTCTAAAACACCCTTCTTAGAGAAATTTATATTTGTTAAGTTTTTCTGTCTTTTATTCTATGTTCATGCATGTGTGGCTGGCTGGTTGTAAAAGCCCAGAAACTGTTTTAAAGGAAGGGTTTGTCACTCAGGCGGCTGAGGCAGGAGGACTGCCTGAATTTGAGGCCAGCCTGGGCTACACAGTGATTTCAAGGCCTGCCTGAATTATGAGGCAAGGCCTTGTCTAAAAAAATAAAAAAATTTAAACAAATGAAGGAAGGATTTGCATGTCTCACTCATCTTGTGGTCTCCCCTGCTGCCCAACTATGCCTTCTGCTTAACAGTCACTGAATAAATGTCCAAGGAAGGAAGTAACCACTGACAGAATATGACACCTTCTCTAGCTGTCAGAAGCTACCTTTCCTGTCTACCTTTTTTCATTTACACATGTTTTCAAGGTCACTCAGTTCTAGTATTTATCGGTATTTCATTTCTTTTTATGGCCAAATAATATTCTATTGTTGGCATGATTTTGAGCTCCCACTGCATGATCCTCTTTCATTTTTAATCACTTCCTCAATACTTGTCTACAAGCAACAAGTAGGACTAGGGATATAGCTCAGTGCAATAAGTACTTGTATAGCAAACACAAGGTCCTGAGTTTGTTTGCTCTACAAAAAAAAAAAAAGCACCAAATGAACACACAGCAGGTGCAGAAGGAAAACGGCTGGAAACATTTTTCAGCCAAAAGACCAAGGCAGTTCTTTCCAAAGCAGAGGGCAGGTACTTCTGGTAGCACTTGGTAGTATCTGAGACAGATTTAAGGACTGAGAAGTAACAATAAAGAAATAATATCAAATCTCAGTGTGAGACAGGTATAGCTTTTATTTTTTGTTGTTTTTGTTCGGGGGGGGGGTAGTATTGGGAATTGAACCAAGGGGTGCTCTACCACTAAGCTACACCCCGGCCCCCTATGATTTCTTTATTTTGCCACCACTCCTGGGTTAAATTTTTTAAAAATGACTTAGTTTAAAGTAAATAGTAACCAATACTCAGATAATATTCAGACTTGGAAACCAAGTCTGTACTGCAGTGATGGGATGCTGGGAAATACAAATTTAGAGACTGCAATTTGTCACATTTACCGCAACACTACTGAGTGGTTTTTATCTATGATTGATGTGCTGCTTCACATTGAAGTATTGCGTTCACCGCCAAGCACTTTTTATTAATTGACAAAAAAATTAAATTTGTCTCTAGTCCTTCTATTTTGAGAAGAGTGGCCAAAATGAAAGCCCCCCCCCCCACAATTCCAAAGGCTTTCAGGCAAACAAGTCTTTCTTAATAAGCCTTTTTTTTTTTTTTTTAAATAAGCCTTTCTTAATTCAATTTCAGCCAGGCTATCATCTCAGCATGCTGGGAGACCGAGGCAGGAGGATTGCAAATTGGCGCTCAGCCTGGGAAATTTAGCGGTTCACAGACAGCTTGTCTCAAAATAAAAATAAATCAGTAAATAAAGGGATGGGGATTAGCTCAGCGTGAAGGCCCTGGGTTCAATCTTCAGTATGGGGTGAGGTGGGGCGGCGGGAATTTAGTTCAATTTCATGCAGAAGCCAAAGGCACTTCCTGAAGCCAAAATGGGAAACGGACCTTTCCATAGACAAAATATAAGTAGTAATCCACACAAGGCTAATTTTAAGAACAAAACATTCGTACAATAGATGGAAATAAATGTCCACTTCCCCTCCTGGGTTAGCTCTTTTTAGATTGGGGATACAACCAGTAACACAAGTCCTCAGCCCTTTGGGAAGGCAGAGGCGCGGGGAGGTCCCCTCGAGCTCCCCGGCCCCGCCCACCCACCTAGATCCCGCCCCTCGCCTAGGCCCCGCCCACTCAGCGGCTCGGCGTGCACCGAAGATGGCGGCTGCAGCGGCAAGGTTGCTCCGGGCCTCGGTGAGTTGCTGCGGGTGGGGACAGGCGTGGAGACACTGCGGTAACCTCTGAACTGCTTCACAGAGAGGATCGTGCTCTCCTGGGCCCCACCCTCGCTCGCAGAGGGTGTCATCGGCAAACGGATCGAGAGGCCTTCTCCTTTGGGGAAGGCTCCTTGCGCCTGCGCCGCCTGTTCTCCCCACCCCTGCTCGAAGTCCTCCCGAGTCCTCTGCTGCTGGAATCGCGTGTCTGCGGCTCCATCTGCCCCCAAGCACGTGGTCCTGGCGCTTGAAGGGGCATCCTGGTCCCTTGACGACTCTATGACCTTGGGCTAGTGACAGCCTTTCTGCACCTCGGTTTCCTTTCCTTCGAGATATTCAGGGTGGCTGACGGCTGCAAGGCGTTGCTTTAGGCTCCTTCTGAATGGTGGGTGGAAACAGGGCTACGGTAACAAAAGCCGCTTGTCCTCCCACCCCCTCGCCCTTCTCCACGGTTACCTGCTTCTCTGCTTTCTGGTCTAAACTTTCAATGTGGGCCCTTTCTCTCCTGCAGCGTGCTGGACATTAACGTTGAGCATGCGTTTCCCTTGAGTCCTGTGCAAACTTTTCCAGAGGCTGAACTTTGCGCTGTTTGCTTATCTGTGGGGCTGGAAGGACCTTGTTTTTCTGAGAAAAACCTTGACATGGTAGAGTGCCCACAGCAGATAATGCAGGGAAAGAGCTTAAACACTCAGGGCCTAACAAACGCCCCCTGACTCTTTAACACTCTGTGATACCATTTAGAGCATGGAGTTTTGGGTTCTTGAGTTTATAGTTAGTTTTACAGTTCCTGGGCTTTGCAGTCCTGCAGGAGAAAGAAGTGGAAGAAAACGTTAACATGAAGCAACAATTTGTGCCCTGAGAACTGTCGGGCTTGATATTTGGTTCACAAGGACAAGGACAGCTGGAGCCACCGTTGGCACAATGCCTTTCAGCAGGGCCAGCCTATGTTACCCTTCCTGACATAAAGTATTTCCTTTCCAGGTTGCTCGACATGTGAGCACAATTTCTCGGGGCATTTCTGCCTCTGCAGCCCTTAGACCTGTTGCTTCTAGAGGAACACACTTGATGAAGATACTGTGGTCTGGGTCTCCTCAAGCCAAATTCACCTTCAGCACCAGTAAGTGTTAGTCCTTGATTGGAGTGAGGTAAAGGGAACAGCATTCATTATCTATGGGTAGGACAGTAGCTCTGAACCCTGGCTATGCATTAGGCTTCCCTTAGAGCTTTCAAAATATAGCATGAAGATGTGGGAGATTTCTAGATCTATGGGGAGTTGGCTCCAAACAATAATCAGCTCACTCATCAAAACTTTAAGATCTACCCATTGGAAAACATGAAGAAAAAAACGAACAGACAAGTTATATAACATAGGAGGAAATAGTCATAAAGTAGATATTTAACAAAGGGATGTTATACAACACATCTAAAGAATTGCAACTCAGCTGAGCATTGTGGTAATGCACATCTGCAACCCCAGTACTCTGGGAGGCTGAGGCAGGAGGATCATCAGTTCAAGCTTGGCGTGGCCCGCTGAGCAACTTAGTAAGTCCTTGTCTCAGAAACAAAAAAATAAAATAAAAAAGGGCTGGCGAAGTAGCTCAATGTAAAAGCCCTGCTTTGGATCCCCAGTACCACCAAAGAAAGAAAGAAAGAAAAGAAAAGAAAGAAAACAAAAACCACTCAAGAATAAAAAGACAACTGGATAAAATAAGTAAATGAGAAAAGCACTATCCCAGTCTCTCCTCCAAACAAATAAAAGTCAGCCTCTGGGATGCAACAAGAACTTAATTATTTTTTAAAGAGATCTCAGGGTGGAGAAAGATGAGCAGAAATGGAAAAGAAAGGAAAATAAAAAGGATCAAGGTGTGCGTTGTGTATTTGCCAGTTTGAGTGCATTTATTGCGTTTTGCAAACATGCACAGTACTACTGAAAGGTAAATAAATAAAACCTCACTGGGTGACACTACTGTGCAGCCAGAGTTCAGAATCACTGGGGCACATGTCTGTGTCAGAGTTCTTTGCTGGTTGCCAGAGGTTTTACTTCTCTGTTTCCAGGCCCTGAGGTTGTAAGATGAACTCTCGTGCTTTCTGGGTCTGCAGTGTGTGAAAGGACGTGAATGGTGGGCTGCTTTTAGGAAACCCATCCTGCCTTCAGGCTCCTGCTGCTCACTAGGGAATCAGACCAGTCCAATGGCATCCTTGGTGATCGGAGTGAAGCTTAACCATTTGCTGAGTTTTCTGCCCCATTCTTGAGGCTGTAGCTTTGCCAGGATCAGCTTCAGATAGCCAGGTGTAGCGGTGCATACCTGTAATCCCAGCACTCGGGAGGCTGAGACTGTTGGATCATCAGGAGTTTGAGGCCAGCCTGGCCTGCACAGTAAGTTCAAGATCAGGCTGAACTATATTGTGAGACCCTGCCTTAAAAAACAAAAATGAAACAAACAAGAGAAAGATGAGCTTCAGATAACCAGTGGTGCTTAAATATCTCCTTTAATTTGCCTTACATTTGAAAAGCATATACTGTATTTAATGCATAAATGTGGGGAAATATACTCTGGGATTTCTTGGTGAAATGCTCTTTAAAAATTGCATAATTTAAAAAGTATTTCCAGTAAAGAATTGGTATCTTATGCTTCAAACATGCCTCCACTGGTCCCAAGCTTCTACCCCCAGAATCCCCTTATATCTGTCATGATACTCCTGCACAGTTTGGCACTGGGTCCCCTTCATCCATTCCAAGTAGAAAGCAAGCAAGTCTTTTCCAGTTATGTTTTGTCTGTTTTGCTGGAGATTGAACTTGGCCTCGTGCATGATAGGCCTGTACTGTTCCATTGAGCTGCACCCCCAGCTCACCTCTCCAGTTTTAATCTTTTTCCTGTGCTGTCTTGCTGTATCTCAGTACCTCTCACTGAGCTAACTGCAGTCACCACCTAACCAGTATTGCTCTCCTGGCAGACTAATCTTTCTGAAAACAGCTGTCTCCTCTGTGTCCCTCCCTGGAACCCTCTCCAACTCCCCGTAATCTCTCCCTTGAAGACCCATCTCAACTGCCTGATATTGAAGGGTCTGCTTGGCCTGCCTTGGGCCACTCTTGGTGTGTGCTCCACCCTCTTCCCCCATGCACTTTAACTGTTACAGTCAAACTATGCACCATGTGCCTTCTTCTATTCCATTTGTCCTATGCTAGGTAGACCTGATAAAAATCTAACATACTTAAAATCCATCTCCAGCTGAATGTGGTGGTGTATACCTGAATTCTAGCACTCAGGAAGTTGAGGCAGGATGATCATCATGAGTTTGAAGCCAGCTGGGCTACATAGTGAGTTCAAGATCAGTATGAACTACACAGAAACCTGGTCTCAAAAAAATAAATTAATTAATTTAAAAAAAAATCTCCAATATGTCTTCCTTTGTAGTACTTTTTTTGTTTTGTTTTGGTACTAGGCTCAAAGTTACAACCTCTCACTTGCCAGGCATGCACTGTGCCACTGAACTGTATACCTAGCCCTTCTTTGTCTTCCTTAATCCCATCCTAATTCCATGTTTGCTCTCTTTATCTTCCTGTTTCTAGTTTTTAGTTTTAATAGCACTTCTGTTTTGTGTTTTGAGACACAGTCTCTCTATGTAGTTCAGGTTGGTCTTGAATTCACCCAAGCTATCCTCAAACTCATGGTGATCCTCCTGCCTCAGCCTCCTGAGTGCTAAGATTACAGCTGTGCACCATCATGCCCCACTACTTTAGCACTTCTTTTCTTTTTCTTTTCTTTCTTTTTGTTCTATTAAATTTTCTTACCAGGCATGGTGGCACACGCCTATGGACCCAGCACTTGGGAGGCTGAGGCAGGAGGATCATTGTAAGATCGAGACCAGTCTGAGCTACAAAGTGAGCTTAAGGCCAACCTGAACTGCATAATGAGACCCTGTCTCAAAAAGACGAAAAACAAAAAAAAATTTTTTCTCCATAGCACTCTGAGTTACATTTGTACATAATCTAAAATTGTAGAAAAAAATTTACTGTTCCTTTGGGTGGGTCCTTTTTTTCATATTGGAGATAGACCTTAGGACCTTTATACTGAGCTAGATCCCTGGCTCTTTGTATTTATTTATTTTTATTTTGAGACAAAGTATGGTTAACTCATGAAGTTGTCCAAGTCGGGCTTGACCTTGCAGTCCTCCTGCCTGACTATTCCTAAGATGTGTAGTTGAATTAAATCTTTTCATTGACTTCCGCCAGGAGACACTTTGTATTGTGACATATAAACATACAGGTTTAAGCAATAAACTCATGGGTGCTAGATGTTGTGAGAAATAAACCACATGCCTGCGTGGGTTTTTTCCAGGTTCCTGGTGCCACGCTCCTGCCGTCACCCAGCACGCACCCGCTTTTAAGGGCACAGCTGTTGTCAATGGAGAATTCAAAGAGCTAAGCCTAGAGGACTTTAAGGGGAAATATTTGGTGCTTTTCTTCTATCCTTTGGATTTGTAAGTATAATTTCTAGAGTGCTTTCATGTCATTCTTTTTTTTTTTTTTTTCTTTCATTTATTTATTTATTTATTGATACTGGGGAATCGAACTCATGACCGCCTGCTTCCAAGGCAGGTACTTATGTCGCTGAGCTAAATCTTCAGCTTTCATGTCATTCTGAAGGCAAGCACAGATCCACACTGAAACACTGAAAGTTCCTCTTCTGGTTAAGGGCTAGGTTCTTCTGATCTCTTCACAACTGACTTACAAAATATAAACTGAGTCGGGGGAAGGGTATACCTTTCAAGGGTAGTTTTCTTTCCTTCTTTTTTTTTTTTTTTTTTTTTTTTAATGAAATTTATTTTGACTCGTAGTCCTGTGGACACGTATTGAGGTGACACACCTAATGACATCCACCTTGCTGGGGGCAGAGTCCCGAGGTGGCACTGAAAAGCACATGGCCTGGGACAGAGAGTGCATCATCTCTCTCTTACAAAGCCACCAGTACTGAGTCATGGTCGTCCCATCCTGCTCACCCACGTTGGATTATGTGTCCACCCATTAGGGGAAGGTAGATTTTTTTTTTTTTTTTTTGTCTTTTTTTCGTTTTTATCGGTACCAGGGATCGAACTCACAACTGCCTGCTTACAAGGTAGGCACTTATGCCGCTGAGCTAAATCCCCAGCCCAGAAGGTAGATTTTTAATATGGCTCCGTCTTGTGTGATTTGGAGCTGTGTCTGTCTCTGAAGTTTTCACTTTCTGGTGAAATAAAAGTAAAGGTAATAAGATGAGTTGTTAGGGGATGTATTGTTCTAATTTTAAATTCCTGTTTCTATTTTCTGATAACATTCTCCACTTCTTTTTTTTAAAGCACCTTTGTGTGTCCTACAGAAATTGTTGCTTTCAGTGACAAAGCCAATGAGTTTCACGATGTGAACTGTGAAATTGTTGCAGTGTCAGTGGATTCCCACTTCACTCATCTGGCCTGGATCAATACACCGAGGAAGGTATACCAAAAAACAAAAGAATTAGCCAGAGAATGATCTGTGGTTTCAGCTGGGTCAGATCCTGCCTCTGTACCTTTCTAACTGTGACCTGAAGAACAGTACTTAAATTTTATGTGCCCCAGTTTCCTTATCTGTACAGTGGCTATGGTGTTGGTACCTACTCCAGAATGGCTACAGAGCGGAAGTGAATTAACAGAATGCGCTTGTGTTCAGTTTCTGTTACCCTGTTACCATTGTTACTGGTCTCAAACATTGTAACAGTCAAAAGTGTTATCAGAGAGGCTAGTGGTGCACACAGGTAATCCCAGCTGCTCAGGAGGCTGAAGCAATAGTATAAAAGGTTCAAAGCCAACCTGGGCAAGTTAGCAAAACCCTGTCTCAAAATAAAGTTTTTAAAAGGGGTTTAGCGGGCTGGGGATTTAGCTCAGTGGCGTAAGCGCCTGCCTGGCAAATGTAAGGTCCTGAGTTTGATCCCCTGTACTGCAAAAAAATAAATAAATAAAAGGGGCTTGGGATGTAGATCAGTGATGAAGTGCTTCTCTAGCATACTTGAGGCCCTGGATCCAACCTTTAGCACTGATTAAAAAAGAAAAGGAAAAGGGCATGGGATGTGTAACTCAGTGGTAGAGTTTAGAGTTACTTGCCCAGCACATGCAAAGTCCTGGGTTCAATTCCCAGCACCACTGCCACCACAGAAGGAAATCGTGAAACCAGTACAGATAATTAGTCAGATTTGTGTTTTTTCTTCTAGAACGGCGGTTTGGGCCACATGAATATAGCGCTTTTGTCGGATTTAACTAAACAAATTTCCCGGGACTACGGTGTGCTGTTGGAAGGTTCTGGTATTGCACTCAGGTAAAAGTCTGTTCCTTATGCTACTTAAGAATATATATGGACTAAGGGGAAACCATATTTTTGGTTGCTGGTGTTTTTCTGTTTTGTCCATTTAAACTTTTAAAATTCATTTATATAGGTAAAATATTGGTTGATTGATTGATTAGAGGCAGGATCTCGCTTTGTAGTTCAGACAGGCCTTGAACTCACAGCAATCCTCCTGCCACAGCCTCCCAAACACTGGAATTACAGGCATGTGGCTCTGTGCCAAGTTAGTAAAATATTTTTTTAAAACAAAAACCTTTTTAATTTTAGTCTGCATAAACTCTGATTAAATGCCTCCCTAAGGGTTGGCAGATTTTGAGAAATGGCCAAGCCTGGCCTGGAGGTGCATAGCTGTGACTCTGGAAAGCTGAGGCAGGAGGATGCCAAGTTTGTGCCCAGCCTGGGCCACTTAGCAAGACCATCTCTCAAAAAATAAAAGGGCTGGGGATGTAGCTGAGTGAGACTGCTCTGTGTTCAATCCTCAAGATGACAAAAAAGAAAAGAGAAGGAAGAAGAGAGGGCCAAATGTGTGCTCTGCTCACCAACTGGGTCTCTTCCTGGAAATGGTGTCTGTGGCTTGATGGTCACATTGCTCCTATCTCTCTAACCAACAAGACCCCTTCCTCCAGAACACTGTGCCTTGGAGCAGTGTCAGGCTTCTACAAGCCCTGAATCAGTCAGTCCTGAGTGTGTTGGTGTTTCGTTTTTGGTTTGGTTTGGTTTTTGCTTTTGAAGCCAACAACTGGATGACTGCGTGACTTGGTCTGTCACTGGCCTCTCTGAGCCCTCGTTTTCCCGTAACTGATGTGAAGAGGCCCTCCCAGGTCAGCAGCAAGGACTGAACAGCGGAAGCAGCTGGAGCTCTTTGGTCAGCGGTGAGAACTGAACAGCAGAGGCAGCTGGAGCTCTTGGCTGAGTTCCTGTGTCCCATGCAGCCAATGTTCTGTCTCAGAATGTCGTTTTACCCTGGAGCATTCAGGGGATAAACTGTTGCAGTCTTTTCGGAGTGTGAAAGAGTGTGAAAGGCTTTCAGTGGTCAGCAGCCTTCCTGGGGGGACAGGAATGGAGGGCACAGGGCTGGCATCTTGAAATCAGCTGAGAACAGAAGTGAGGGAGCAGGACTTGACCTTGGGAAGGGAGAAAGGGCCGCACCTTGAGGCACCCACAATCTTCTGGGGCATCTTGAAGCCAGTTCCCCTGCTCTCTCCTAGCTGCCCCCTGCCCCCTTCTTGAGTGACACCTGGATGCTGGGCAGCCCCTTGGATCTCCTCAAGATATGACCTTGAGGAGAGACCGGCTTCCTTGAATAAGGCACGCCTCCTCAGAGTAAGCAGTGACGGGAGAAAGAGCAGGCTGCTCTTCCTGCAGAGTTCGGTTCCTATGGGGTCTAATTTTGGTTACCCCTGCCATTGAGAGCGTCTGGGTATGGCTTGGCAGTTAGTCTGTCTCTGGAGTCTGTGGGCTTTGCTCACCTCCCGCTCTGCCTTGAAGCCTGGCCTCCAACCAGCCATGGGGCTGTACGCATTTAAGTCCAGATACTTGGGCAGATGAGGCAGGAGAAGCGCACATTGGAGGGTTAGGCTGGACAACTTAGTGAAACTCTGTGTTTAAAAAAAGGGGGGGGGGGCCGCCTGGGGATTTAGCTCAGCGGCATAAGCACCTGCCTTGAAAGCAGACAGTCGTGAGTTCGATCCCCGGTACTGATAAAAGGGAAAAAGACAAAAAAAGTGGGAGGAGGGGCCTTGGGGTGTAGCGTGGTGCCTCATGAGTTAATGCCAAGTGCTGCAAAAAGAAAAGAAAAGTGGGGACTAGACCCCAGATGCTGAGTATTTAATTTCCTTTTTCCCTGTATGATTGACACTTAGAATCCTCACACTCTTTTACAATGGATTGTTAAAAAGCTTTGGGTTGGCCGGGGATTGACATAAGCGCCTGCCTGGCAAGCTCGAGGTTGTGAGTTCAACCCCTGGTACTGCAAAAAAAAAGCTCCGGGTTGGCCAGGCATGGTAGCACAGACCTATAATCCCAGCACCCGGGAGGCAGAGGGAGGAAGATCCCTGTGAGTTCAAGGCCAGCCTAAACTGCATGGTGAAACCTGTCTCAAAAAGACAGAAAGTAAAAAAGAAAAGGGCTGAGTCATAGTCCCTGTGGTGTGGCACAGTAACAGCCACACAGAAGATGCAGACAGGCGTTGGGACAGTTGTCCCCTGGCAGCACTGCTGAATGAGGAGCAGTGAACATAGGTGTCCACTCCACATGGACCTGGGGCCAGCAATTCTTCCCACTGTCTTTTCCCATGGGACCTCCCCTCCTTTACCCAAAGATCCATTCATTTAGTAAATGTTGGGTGTAGAGAAAATGCATCTTTGTCCCTTCCCATTTGCCTGTGGTTTCTTACCATGATTTGATGCAGCAGCCCAAAGAATGCTTACTAAATCACTAATAAAAAAGCCTTCACACTCTTAACTCTGTGACTTTCCAATACTGTGTATGACAGTCATTTTGGGCACAATTACAAATTTGCAGATGGAACCACATTATGTTTTCCATGGTGGCCTGGTCCGTCTTGCCACTGTGAAGGTATCTGTTATTAATAAAGAGATGAAAAGCTTTTTGTACAACAATGAAAACCTCAATTTTAAGCATATGACAAAATGTAATGAATATTATATTAAAAAATTATATTGAAAAGGAGAATGAAAGACAAAAGAGTGATGCTTGGACTTTTAATTCTGGTACCGTTAGGGTACTAATGTGGATAAATTCTGATGCAGAGGTCTCTTTATAATCGACCCCAATGGAGTCATCAAGCATCTGAGTGTCAATGATCTGCCAGTGGGCCGAAGTGTGGAAGAGACCCTCCGCCTGGTGAAGGCATTCCAGTTTGTGGAGACTCACGGAGAAGTCTGCCCAGCGAACTGGACACCAGATTCTCCTACAGTAGGTTCTTCTCCCCAAAGCTGTGGGATCCCTCAGAGTCCCCGGTCCCCTCCTCAAGATCATGTGCAGATGGGTGTGGCCATGGGACCTGGTGAGGGGGACGGGAGGTAGAGAGTCAGAGACCAGGGAGGCTGTTCCTTAGCTTTCATCCATGTGTTTTGAAGGAAACAGACCAATCTTGGAAAAAGTTTTAGGTTAAAAACGTTTTAGCTCAGATTTAAAACTATTTTTATTAAGTTGTTACCCAATTAAATGTTTTTGTTTTTAGATCAAGCCAAATCCGACGGCTTCCAAAGAGTACTTCCAGAAGGTCCATCAGTAGGCACAGGTGCACCTCCAGCTTCTCCAGCCAGACAAGAGCCACAACCAGGCGCCCTTAGGCATTTCAAAGATGATTATGTATAGAAGGCAAAAGCCCAAGTATGCTTCACTTACAAATGGTACTCTTACACTTACAAATGCTCTGTTTCTGGGACACCAGCTAAAGCTTTATAAAGGCAGTGAGTTGCTAACCTCCAGAGTCCTTCCTTACTGGGGGCATCTCAGCAGCTAGCAAAGTTGTACAAAGCCTGCTTCCCCGCTGTTAGACCATGTCCTCAGTCAGTAGAGAAGGCGCTCTTCTTTCTTACCCTTCCTTGACTGTTGCTGACACCAAAGTATTACCTTATTCATTGAAAGCTTCTGATCAAGAGTCCTGAAATTTTCTTCTTGAATTTCTTCATATTTTTAAACTGAACTTGCTTTTAAGATGACAAAGATTATAGTTTTATGTTGTTAGCATTTGATATGGATGTATATGTAATGAAAATGAATGTGAATCATGTTATTAAAAAACACAGTGGCAGAGTTACTTACCTGATCATGCATGATACCCATCCCTGAGATTTATACATTTACAGTAGTTATTTTACTCATTTCATGCATGAGCTGGCTTCGTGTCTACCTGTATTCCTAGATATAGATTAGGTATAATTATAAAATTTAGCTTCTTAGTTCAATGTGATTGCATTTTTAAATCTGTATAATTTCTTTCTTGAAGTGCTTAGTGTAAAATATAAGAATAAACATTTTAAACTGTTTCTGTTTTTAATATCATTAGCTGTCGGTTCTGTTCTGGGGCTCTATTGATGCTTCTTTGATTATGTCAACAAGTATGTATTGGGCATTTACCTCAAGTGTCACACAGATGGCTGAGATGCTGACATCACACTTAGGGAACTCAGTCTAGGGGCAAGACCAGTGGGGTTGTTCATTCACGATGTCAGCCTTGTGCCAGGCATGTGCCAGGCATTGCTTTGTAGGCACAAGAGTGAGGAGAACAGACAAAACCCTCTCTTTATGCATTTCCATTCTAGAGGGAGAGCACAATAAATCGAGAACTAGTGATTAAGAACTAGAGATTAGGAAAATGAGATGCGGTTGTGAGCTGAGCAAGACGTGCCGAGCTCTTCCAGGTAAGGCATCAAGGGAACCTCAGCATTGGTCTCCTTGGGTCTGTTACGTGTAAAATGAGTGTGGTGATTGTACCTGTTTTGGGGTTTTCTTGAGGATCAAATGAGGGCAGCAGAATAAAGGTCTTCCAGGCAGGGGTCATGGCACATGGAAAGGCCTCAGGAGAGAATCACTGGAATTGAGTGCAATCCTAATCAAAATTCCAATAGCATATCTCACAGAATTAGGGAAAACAATCTTAAAATTCATCTGGAACCAAAACAGACCTAGAATAGCAAAGGCAATCCTGGGCAACAAAGACAAGATGGGTATCACAATCCAGACTTGAAGAAGTTACATTATAAAGCTACTGGGATAAAAATGGCATGGTACTAGCAAAAAAACAGACCCAAAGATCAGTGAAACAGATTAGAAGATGCAGAAACAACTCCAGACACCTAAGTCCCCTTATCTTTTATAAAGGTGCCAAACACATTCAGTGGAAGAAAGCCTCTTTAATAAATGGTGCTGGAAAAACTGGCTCTACCCATGCTGACATTAAAAGTGGACCTGTAGGGGCTGGAGATTTAGCTCAGTGGCATAAGCGCCTGCCTTGCAAGCAGGCAGTCATGAGTTCGATCCCTGGTACTGATAAAAACAAAAAAGACAAAAAAAAAAAAGTGGACCTGTATTTTTCATCATGCACTAAGCTAAAATTGGGATAGATTAAAGATCTTAATATTAAACATTAAATCTGCTGGAAAACTGAGCAGGTAAAACTCTTGAAGACATTGATGTAAGTAAAGACTTTATGAACAAAACCCTGATTGTCCAGGAACTATCACAAAGAATTGACAATTGGGATCTCTATTGAAAAATTTTTGCATAGCAAGAGAAATCAGGAGAATGAAGACACAACACACAATGTGGGAGGAAATGTTTACCAGCTGTCCTCAGACAAGGGTTTACTATTGAGAACATAAAAAGAACTCAGAAAATCAATCCTCCTGGATTTAGAGATCCAGTCCAAAAATAGGCATCTGAGATGAATACACACTTCTCAGATAAAGAAATGCAAACAGCCAGTAAATACGTGAAAAAATATTCAATGTCACTGATCATTCAAGAGATGCAAATTAAAACATCACTGAGATTCCACCTCACCTGGAACAGAATGGCTCTTATCAAGAAATCAGCCCATAATCAATACTGGAGGGAGTATGAGGTAATAGAAACTCTTCTCCACTGTTGGTGGGAGTGTAAACTGGTGCAACCACTGTGGAAATCAGTGTGGAGATTCCTCAAAAAACTAGGATTGGAGGTCCTATTTGACCCAGTTATTCCCCTCCTGAGTATCCCCTCAAAAGAATTAAAAACATAAAAAAATTAAAAGCATCCTATTACAGTGATACTTGTGCACCAGTGTTTATAGCAGCACAATTTGTAATAGCCAGATTTTGAAAACAACCTAAATGGCCATCCACTGAGGAATGGACAAAGAGGATGTGGTATTTTTATACAGTGGAGAATTAGTTATAAAGAAGGATAAACTGGAGTCTTTTTATAGGTAAATGGATTCAACTTGAGACCAAAATCGTAAGTGAAACCAATAAACACGTGTAAACATTGTCTCACTAGTCTGAGAAGCTGAAACAACATATGTATATGTGTATGGATATATATGTATATAAAAATCTAGTTAAGATAGTTATACTATTGATTTCCCTGAGTTCACTGAAGAGAAAGGTTTTTGCTGGTATTGTTTGGACAATTGAATGCAGATGTCTTGTGCTCTGGGTGAATGACTTGGGGATGACAATGTGTAATGTATGTACCATTGCTGCCCCTGACTGACATGTTCTGAAATTCTGTTTTAATTTTTCTTTTTTTTTTCCTTGAAAGAAAATGGATTTGAAAACAATAATAAAATAAAATTAGATGCAAATATAACCAAAAATTTTAGTTGCTAACTCTGAGGGAGGAGATTGTACTGTATAATCATTCTTTGTGTTTTTTTCCCCTGAAAATAAGGAGAGAGAGGAAATAAGACTGAATTTATTAGGGGTGAATGAGGGGAAGGGGAAGTTTCCAGGGCTCTAACTTGTGCAGCCAGACAGGCAGCTGGTATCACAGTACAGAGGAGAAGGCGGTGCAGAAGGGAAGCTACCAGCAGGTCTGAGCATGGGAGACCTGCAGGAGCAGGACCATCCTAACAGAAACCTCAGCTGGTGGGCAGCCTTGGGCTGCACTGCACATTGAAATCAAGGGCGCCCCAGAAATACAGTTGTGTGTCCATGAGTGTGTTGTCATTCCTGCACAAATGCTAACAGTGTTGAGACTGCTGTTTGATTTCTTAGTATCTGATTACAGGCAAAAATAGAAAAATCAAGGCAACTATTGTTTATCAAGAAAGTCATCACAGATACGACATGGAGGGCTGTCGGGTGTGCACACTGCAGGTCACACGTGATTGCCTTCAGACAGCTCTTCCTAGTTGTTCTTCCTGTCACTGGAGACATTGCGGGAATCAACTTTACAAAACTGGGGTAATTTTTAAAATGTAGTTAGAAGTTAATTTCATGCACGCCTATAATCCCAGCACTTGGGATACTGAGGCAGGAGGATCACCAAGAGTTCAAGGCCGGTTTGGACTACATAGCAAGACCCTGTCTCAAAAAAAAAAAAAAGTTACCCTCATAAACCAGACAGAGCAGTGCTTCTCCTGTCCAGTGGGCATTAGTAGAAAGTCTCTGTAGCCAGTTCCTAGAGCCCGTGGCAGACTCCAGAAGGCGGTCAAGCTCGGAAGTCAGAACCCATTGTCCAAACAGCCAGTATTGCAAGTAAGTTGTATCCCTGCCTGTCTTAGTCTCTTTCTTCGTTGCAGAGGTACAACACCCAACACTTAGGACATCAAGGAGGAACAATTTATTCGGCTTATGTTTGAGAAGTTTCAGACCTTGCGTGGTCAGCTGGCTCCACATAGAAACAGCATGGCAGATGGGCCTGGCCACAAGAAAACTACTCAATTTGTAGCATCCAGGAAGCAGAGAGAGAAGGGAGGAGCTAGGGAGGAGGAGAAACCTAGGCTATGCCACCAGTGACGGGTCTCTCCCTGCCGGCCTCCACCTCTGAACAGCAAGTCAGCTGTAAACTCCCACAGTCCATCACTTTCCAGAAGCTCTGCCCAAGTGCACATGAGGCTCGGGGGGACATGTAGATAGAAACCATAACCCCACCTGTGGGATCAAACCAATCAGTGACGCGTTTTTCACCTGACAGCACAGAGGACTTTCTGGAGCTCGCAAACCAGCCCCTAGAGGAGGCCCTTGGAAAGTTCACATACTAACTTGTTTTTTCTGAGAACTTGTTGGGGCTCCAGGCTGACAGCAGGGCCTGCGTGCAGGGCACGTGACTGATGATACGGAGTCATCTACACAGAGCTGGCTTTGCCTTGAACTAGGGACAAGCTGGATTTTGAGACTTGTCTGAAGAAATGATTTCTCTGAGGTTGCAGGATGTTTCAACAATCTTGAAAGTTTATGTGGCTCATCTTTGCTTGTGATTAGTTCATTTTTGTTTTTTGTTTTATTTTTCTGAAAACAAAGTCTCACTGTGTAGCTAGACTGGCCTTTGACTCATGATCTTCCTGCCTCAGCCTTCTGAGAGCTGAGGTTCATTTGCTTATTCCTTTGATCTATTTGACTTCCTCATTTTGATTTGTTCTATCCATGTGGTAGAAAACAGCTCTGGTAAGTCTTGTGTGATGCCACATGCCTATAATCCTAGCACTCTGAGGAGCTGAGGCAGCAGGGTCAAAATTTTGCGTGAAGCCTGGGCAACTTAGTGATTCAGTGAAAACTTCTCTCCAAAAAAAAAGTATAAAGGGTTGGGGGTACACTTCAGTGCACAGACTCTGGGTTCAACCTCCAATACCGAGGGAAAAATAAATAAAACAAGGATGGCCTTCCTTCTCTGAATTTCAAAGTAAGGGTGGCATGAAGCTCTTGCTAGCTGGGCACAGAAGTACATACCAGTAGTCCTGGGTATAAAATGTCCCCTGAGGGCCAGGCATGGTGGTGCGCACCTGTAATCCCAGCACTGAGGCAGGAGACTCACCAAGAGCTCAAGGCCAGCATAGCTACCAGATGAGCTGAAGGCCAGCCTGAACTAACCCTCTCAAAAAACAACAAAAAAAATGTGCCTCAGGGGCAGAGGGTTTTCTCTAGAGGGTGTCCCCTCAGGCTCCCTGCCTCAGAGGCCAAGTCATACAGCTCTGGACTCCTTCCTGGCTTTCCTGACCTTTGCCCACCTTTGGTGAGTAAGCTGCTGCTCTCCTTCAGAGGCTGGGAGAAGCCTCTGAAAGATGTCCACCCAGCTCCTGACTCAACTGTGCCCCCCAGCCCTGGATTTCTGTCCCAGATGGCTGGAGACCCTCACCGTGACCCTCATTCACATACCCACATCTCCACCTGCCAGCCCCCCACCCACGCACCCAAGTCAGGCCTTGGGCTTCTTGAAGGTGTCACAAAGCCATCTTGTTTTTGCACACAAAGCCTAGAGAAGAGGTGAGTGGGTTGAGATGCCCTGCTGGCTGCAAGCCCCATGTAATTGCTCCTTACAGTCTGTGTTAGTCAGCTCTCTGTCCCTG